TTACAAATAATTTGGTTCTACACACTTTGTATTTCGAGGCAAATTGTCCAACCATATTCGAAAACGTCAAACATTGACTATGATATGTCATTCTATTGTCATATTTCCGGTGAAACAGGAAATAACCAAAAAAGTTGAATAAATCAATCAATCCTAATATATGTCATATACTAACATACCAAATCTCGATTTTTTATCTGAAAAAATTAAATATAATAATAATTGAAATTAGTTTAAATTGAGTTGTTAAAGTGGCCCAAATCAAAAAATAAATAAGTGTGGCATATTTTTGGATTCAAATTCTTTCGAAACCTGAAATAAAAAACACAGGTCCGTATTAAAAAAAAGAAGTTGGACTATGTATCTCAGACTTTTATCCAATTGAAAAATAGTGTCGGGTAGCCTTCATAAAGGGGCTAAGAGAATGTGCAATTAGTTTTTCGATGTTCTAAAAAGTAATGACAAGAAAAAATAAAATTGATTATCAAAAATATCCGTTCTTTTTTTCAAATAACTCAGCACCCTGAAACTTTTTTGGTGGCATCTTGGTGATCATCCCAAGGCGCAACTTTGCCCCACTTTGACTTTGTTTGTATCTATTACAGTTTCCGAGATGCCAATGTTCGTACTCCTAAGTTATAGCACCCTGTATAGAGGCAATATATTGCCTTTTAGTATACTTTTGGAAACAGTTATACATTGTATGTTATAATATACTAGCTTTTTCCCGCGACAACGTTCGCGTTACACCTCGAATCGTTCATGTATTGATTTCAATGATTGTTTACTTCTTTATAGATAGAGCTAGTGAGCCTTATAAATGCAATATTTAAACTATGATTTTAAGAGTTTTATAGCTACTCGTATTTCATATGAAAGTTAGCAATTGTCGATTTTCTGGGTATTATACAGGGCGAGTCGAGTGAATAAGTGCAAATATTTTCAGGGCTGGTAGATCTCGATAAAAGAAACATTTTCTTTTTACCGTTTTTCAAATAACTCCAAAATAACCGAGTTATTTTACTTTAAAAAATTAGTGTTTTATTAGTTTATTAGTGTTTTAGAAATCGAACCAAAATCGAAATTTTGCAAAATCTGAAAAAAGAAAATCTCTCGAAAATAATAAATACTGAAATGACTATTTACCCTCCAGAGATAGAACCCTACCTATGGTTCCATATAAACTGAATTACTAAAATAAATAGCTTTGAAATATAAAGTTTTCAATTGAATATTTGAAGTTTCCAATTGTCGCTTTTCTTGAATACTCCACTGATTTATTTTTATTTTTCAAGAGCACTAATATACCCTCTTTATACGTTATTTTTTATTCCTAGAAGGATGGTTTGAAGAAGAAATATTTCGTTCATTTTATTGATGGCACTAAATAAACCCTTGTATAAAATTTTATACTTCTAGATGTTATATGCTGTCCTCCATTCGCGAATTTCAAGTTCCAGAGCTTTACCCCCTGGGCTACTCAGAACGGTTCTGAAAGGAGCTGTGCGCGATAGCCGAGCCGAGGATATGGATGTCCATATGGCGCGGAACAGTTCTGAACTTTATGGCACAATTGAATGGAGTGAGAGTATCGCGTTCTTGTACAGTTCAGAGATGCACAACTGCATGAATGGAGGACAGTAATAATAATGCATTTTCGTACAACAAACTTTCATTCCCTATTCTACTCCCTATGGGTATGAATTTCATAAATTCGCTATGTCCAAATAATTAACTCATGTCTTTTAAATGATCCTTTGTGCAAATTTTTATGTGTATAATCCAGAGGTCACGAAGGTTTATATAAATTTTTACTAACTTTACCCATTTGGTTGATGAATTTCAATAATCTCTTCTAATTCTTTCTGTAGAATTTCATTTTTCTAGACCAGATAGTAATGAATTTTCATACAACAAATTGTTCGACATAATTTTACACTCTAAGAGGATTAATTTCCTAAAATCCCTTTGCGTAGCTAATTCACTAATGTCGTTTAAACGAACCTTTGTGCTAATATTTATGTATCTAAAGCTGGCGGTATTAACTATCCCCTAAAATATCTAAAAACTTGATATATAATCTAACTGACACACCACTGACAATGACAAATAAATAATTTATTTCTGGAGGTATTTTGTATAGGTGTTTTTCAGGTATGTTTTAGTATTTAGTCGTTTTACACAAAGAAATAGCCATTAAACAATATAAAAATACTTCATAACAAATCTAGACATATATACCTTTCATTTAAAAAAAGAATCATCCAGATTGGTGAAGCGGTTTCGGCGGGATGGATGTAAAAAAAAACCTTTGAGCTTTTATATATGTATGGATTCTATCACAACATATTCCAATTAAAGGTATAAAAAAACTGTCATTATTTGAGCGTGTGTAGACGAGAAAATGTGCAAAAGTGTAGATGCGCTACTTTGTATTTAGAATACTAGTCCCATATAACAACACAATGGATCGACTTTCATTAAATATTTTGCATATAAAATGCAAAATCGATAGTCGCTTCTAATGTAGTTTGATGCAGATTTTTTTTTGATCATATCACATGCATATTTAACGCTAAATATGTTCTATTTTTTAATCAACAATTTTTTTAACTTGGCCTATTTAGATTATCGACAGAAATAAGAGCAGCAATACAAAAATTTGCACCAGACGGCCAAAAATCTAGCGATGGCACTATTTAAAATGTAATAGTTACACTATTGTATTGAGAAATTTTTCCGCATTGGAGAATGATCTGCTACTGAAATTGACTACCATAAAAAGTTTAGGTCATAAACGATCCAACAATATTTTCAGAGGTTTTCAGTCTGTGAGGAATTTCCTTCGTAAAATAATAGACATAACTCTTATTTAATCACGTCCATGTCTATTCCAAAATAGTTAGGTTCAGACTTTATTGGCCTTTTTCCCCAAGCATTGTAGCAGTAATTTTAAGAATATTAAAACATAAGGTACGCCTCTGGCTGTTTGTAGTTTTACAAATAATTTAAGAAGCTGAAGATCTGCCTGTTGTACGAAAATCCATTATTATTACTGTCCTCCATTCATGCAGTTGTGCATCTCTGAACTGTTCAAGAACGCGATACTCTCACTCCATTCAATTGATTCATAAAGTTCAGAACTGTTCCGCGCCATATGGACATCCATATCCTAGGCTATCGCGCACAGCTCCTTTCAGAACCGTTCCGAGTAGCCCAGGGGCGCTATTCTGTACAATCGTCGGTATCGGCAAGTTACCGACAGCTATCGGTACGTACGGCCAACAAGCGTCGTGTTGATTGTTGTTGTCATAGTTACCGATCGGCCCTATGACAGATATCACAAATTTGTACCGACGACTCTCGGTATTTCTACCGTGAGGTTGACAAGGGCACGGTAGAGATACCGATTTTTGTCGATACAAATTTCCGATATCTGCCATAGGACCGATCGGTAACTATGACAACAACAATTAACACATTTTTACTATATAGACAAATACGTATCGAGAGCTGTCGTAACTTACCGATACCGACGATTGTCGATGCCGTGTACAGAATAGCGCCTGTACTATCGTCGGTATCGGTAAGTTACCGACAGCTATCAGTACGTACGACCAATGACCGTTGTGTTAATTGTTGTTGTCATAGTTTTAGCTGTCATTAATAAGAGACATAACAAATTTGTACCGACCTGAAATTCAGTTTCTAGTAAATAGTTAGACAGTATTACATTTTCACAATTTCTATTACACAGTTCATTTTAGACAGAACAGACAAAAGCACACATATCTGATCTTTTATGTTCGATTCCCAAGGGTATTAGTCCTGTTAGTTCAGTAATATTATGGCTCAAATTGCGATATATCCGACAAAATTCATAAAGTTTTCAAAATTGGTGGAAATAAGCAGGACATAATATGTATTAATAAACTGAAAAGTTCCCTCCCCTAAATAGTGTGCGTCATTCCCCAGGATATCGTTTCTACCCCCATTTTGAGTTTTTTTTTAGATAATCTCGGCAACGGTGCAATTCTCGACAAAAATACCGATGTAGAAAATTGTTCTTCAGAAAATTCTCTATCAAAAAGATAATAACATTGTTTTTTCTATAGTTAATAATAAAGTGGCAAATAGGGTGCAAATATTAGGGTTGGTTATGACCAGGGGCGGATACAGGAATTTTTATTTTAGGGGGGGGCCAAATAAAAAGTAATGAGGAATATGCCTTTTAGGGCGCCATTTTTAACCCAAAAGGCTAATATTTAACCCAATAACAGATTTCAGGGGGGGTCCGGACCCCATGCCCCCCCCCTCTGTATCCGCCACTGGTTATGACTAGCACTATCTGCAGTTCAATCTAATTCAAAGTTTAATGTTTAATGCTAACAAAAAGCAGTAACACTAAATTATACTTAGAGTCTTAATATACGTACTTCTGTCACACGCGACTACCCCTATATAAAAAGGGTGATTTGTACTTATTTCCACATTACCCTAGAGGTAAAGTATTTGATGCGATTTTTTTTAACGTGGTATCCTCTGTAGGCCTAATCCACTAGGCCTACAGAGAGGATTTTATTTAAAAGTTTAGAAGTGCGTCTTGCAAATTGTGTAAAGCCGATATCTAGTTTGAGCAATACCATGAAAATTAATGGCAATAATGTTCAAGTTGACTCAACATTACTATTTCAAAGAATTATTTGCACCGTTGGAGGTACTGAAGCTAATTCGAAACTAAAGCACTTTTTTAACTCCAGGCTAGAATCAACTAGAATGAACGCGTTCATATATTCGAATGTATCCGCATCCACTGTGAGAGAAGCCTTAACTTTTCTTGACGTTCGATGCTTACTATTTATCACTTTACTACAAAAATATTGTTATCTTTTTGATTTTAGTTCAACATAAAATTATGTTATTCCCTCGTAACTATATTAGGAAAATTTAGTAACCTTGAATTGATTAAACTATATCGTTCATTAACTTTTAATCTGTTAAAAATTGTTTAGTTATATAATAATACTCAATATTGTCAAGAAGCCAAGTCAACAAGTGCTGTTTACAGCAGTTTAAATAGCCGTTTCTGATACCGGAGAAAAAAATGTGCAACGTTTTTTGTTTTAGTGCTGAATATATATTTTTCCATTGTTTTTACTGCTATACAATTCAGTGGGGCATGTGATTTGTCTGTTATTGCTTACTTTAAATCAAGGTGTTAATAGAATAGTCTTTAATATCAAAGTGATAGTGGTTATTTTTGAGAGGTTATTTGTGCCAGAATTGTGGTAAGCCTACGACTACGTTTAACTAGAATTGTAATATTAGTTTTATTTTAGTTTAATTAATATAATAACACATGTATAATGTGGAGCCGTCGCGTCGCGTCGTAAGAGGTAGTTCAATTGTGTGGCAATTTTTGGTGGGCGACGCGACGGTATTATTTTATTGATTTTTTTTATTAATAATTAAATGGAATTTATAAGTAAAGTATATTATCATGGGATAATGAAGATATTTTTGCATTTTTACTTACCAGTTTTTACTAATTATTGATAATTTTCAAGTGTTTTTCTCTATACCGGGTGCGTTTCAAAAGTGGTGAACTCTATCACTTTTTTATTTTTTTAGATAAAAATAAACGAGATTTGGTATGTTTGTATATGAGATAAATTAGGATTGATTCACATATTCAATTCTTTTCGGCGACTTCCTGTTTCACCGTAAATAACTACAACTTTTGACAAAAAGACACTCTGAATATAATTATATATCATAATATGTCAACTTTTGACATTTTGGGTTAAAACAAAATTGCATTTTAAATTTCAATCTAGAGTGCCATGGCTGTTTTAAAAACACCAATTTTTAATCGAGGGGCCTTGGAAAAATAGATTTGATTGTCTAATGTTTTAAGTGTCTTATCCTGGCCGGTTAAAAAATGCCCAAATCGTATTTTTATCATATCACAATTTTTTCAAATGGAATGAAAGTGACTCATTAGCATATTTGGAAAAGGCATTTTTTACGAATAATTTGGTACTACACACTTTGTATTTCGAGTCAAATTGTCCAACCATATTCGAAAACGTCAAACGTTGACTATGATATGTCATTCTATTGTCATATTTCCGGTGAAACAGGAAATAACCAAAAAAGTTGAATAAATCAATCAATCGTAATTTATGTCATATACCGTATGATCGAAAAAAAAAACGGCGTCCAGTTGGCTAGGAAATGACAATCGCTGATATTTCCCATATAATTTTACATATAAAATGACAGCGATCTTCATTTCATAGCCATCGCTGACGCCGTTTTTATTCGATCATACGGTACTAACATACCAAATCTCGATTTTTTATCTGAAAAAATTAAATATAATAATAATTGAAATTAGTTTAAATTGAGTTGTTAAAGTGGCTCAAATCAATAAATAAATAAGTGTGGCATATTTTTGGATTCAAATTCTTTCGAAACCTGAAATAAAAAACACAGATCCGTATTAAAAAAAAGAAGTTGGACTATGTATCTCAGACACTTACTTTTATATAATTGAAAAATAGTGTCGGGTAGCCTTCATAAAGGGGCTATGAGAATGTGCAATTAGTTTTTCGATTTTCTAAAAAGTAATGACAAGAGAAAATAAAATTGATTATTAAAAATATCCGTTGTTTTTTTCAAATAACTCAGCAACCTGAAACTTTTTTGGTGGCGTCTTGGTGATCATCCCAAGGCGCAACTTTGCCCCACTTTGACTTTGTTTGTATCTATTACAGTTTCCGAGATGCCAATGTTCGTACTCCTAAGTTATAGCACCCTGTATAGAGGCAATATATTGCCTTTTACTATACTTTTGGAAACAGTTATACATTGTATGTTATAATATACTAGCTTTTTCCCGCGACAACGTTCGCGTTACACCTCGAATCGTTCATGTATTGATTTCAATGATTGTTTACTTCTTTATAGATAGAGCTAGTGAGTCTTATAAATGCAATATTTAAACTATGTTTTTAAGAGTTTTATAGCTACTCGTATTTCATATGAAAGTTAGCAATTGTCGATTTTCTGGGTATTATACAGGGCGAGTCGAGTGAATAAGTGCAAATATTTTCAGGGCTGGTAGATCTCGATAAAAGAAACATTTTCTTTTTACCGTTTTTCAAATAACTCCAAAATAATCGAGTTATTTTACTTTAAAAAATTCCAAAAAAAGAAATATTTTTTGCTTACATATTGAGAACCACTGGAGCTTTTCGGGTTTTTCTGTCTGGTAAATTTAATCTACCTACTACCTATGTTGCCATGTTATCAAGAAATTATGGTTTTTAACTGAAAACTAAAAAAAAAATCTAAAAATTTACACAATCTTAATAATTATAGAAGCTGTTATCGAAATCAAAGTATTTCAAAGAAGTTCAATTTTGGCCCCAAAAAGATTTGTGATTGAAACTAATTATGTATGGTTGGACAGAGGGTTGATGTGTTTTTTTTTGTTTCTTAATTATGGGTATCGGGTGTTTTAGAAATCGAACCAAAATCGAAATTTTGCAAAATCTGAAAAAAGAAAATCTCTCGAAAATAATAAATACTGAAATGACTATTTACCCTCTATAGATAGAACCCTACCTATGGTTCCATATAAACTGAATTACTAAAATAAATAGCTTTGAAATATAAAGTTTTCAATTGAATATTTGAAAGTTTCCAATTGTCGCTTTTCTTGAATACTCCACTGATTTATTTTTATTTTTCAAGAGCACTAATATACCTTCTTTATACGTTATTTTTTATTCCTAGAAGGATGGTTTGAAGAAGAAATATTTCGTTCATTTTATTGATGTCACTAAATAAACCCTTGTATAAAATTTTATACTTCTAGATGTTATATGCTGTCCTCCATTCGCGAATTTCAAGTTCCAGAGCTTTACCCTCTCGGGCGCTATTCTGTACAATCGTCGGTATCAGTAAGTTACCGACAGCTATCGGTACGTACGACCAATGACCGTTGTGTTAATTGTTGTTGTCATAGTTTTAGCTGTCATTAATAAGAGACATAACAAATTTGTACCGACCTGAAATTCAGTTTCTAGTAAATAGTTAGACAGTATTACATTTTCACAATTTCTATTACACAGTTCATTTTAGACAGAACAGAATGCCTTCTTCTAATAAGAGTTTGGTTGAGGATACTGAAAATCTTGAAGATGGATTATCCGCAAGGGAGATGATTAACACCGGTTATGGACTAACTTACAAGTACGTATAACTTTTATGTAACTTATTTAACCACATAAGTGTGATACTGGTACAGACGAAAAGTTAATACTGTTCAAAACAGTTAAAAAGCATGCAAGTGGCGCCTCTTTATAGGACATACCTTTATACGATCTTTTCAACTTATTTTTATCTGCAGAATACTTTATCTAAGTTTACAAGTTACAATTCGCACCACCTTGTATAAGTATGTATAATTTATTAAAACTTCAATAATTTTTAATAGATACATGTTCAATTATTATAATTATTCAAAATGAATTTTATAATTTAGTTGTTAACGCCCATAATTAATATAATTAAATAAAGTCTGTCCCGCGAGTACTTTAATTTTGTACATTATTAAAATTATAATTATAATTAGTTAAAATCCTCTACTGAGAGGTAGGAGACTCACAGTTTTGTATAAATATATACTATTTAAAAAAATCTAGGCCAACATGTTTCGGCAATTGCAATCCCACCTTCAGGCTCATAAGCTAAAATGTTATAAATTAAAAACAATCAAAGTAAGTCAAACATATTTGTCAAAGTAACAAAACTGGTAATAATAATACTGGTAAAGTCATAAAAGTTAAAATTATTTGTGTGTACAAAAAAATGTTACAAAATGCCAAGATGAGCTTGATAACAAATAAATTACAATATTACCTTGGCAGCATTTATCTATCTAAAATTTATCAAATATCACGAGGTGTACATAAAACTATTTCTAAATTAAGTGGGAAAATTCAGATTTAAAAATTTAAATTCAATAATTATAATTAGGCTTAAAAACCATTTGTACAGGGTCACCTCATACGACGAGTATTGTAGCCAAATTATTGGATATTTAGAAATTGTGATGGGATCGATAGAGGATTACTAAAGCTACAATTTAAAATTATTTTTAAAAAGTACAGAGAGTCTCAAACAAAGAAAAAATATCAAAATTGTATTTTTTTAACTGAAATATTATGTATAATATTACATTTTTAGTTTCTACAATTAAAATAAATGTAAATTTGATTAAGGTTTACTACAGTTTAATCTTACCGTTTTTGAAATATTTACGATTTTGCGAAAATGCAGTAACAATTTTAATGCTTCATTTCTCTAGGCGTTTTAAAGTATTTAAAACAAATCATTATACTTAAGTTCTTATATTTACTAAATTTTGTGTTGCAATAATAAAAATAATGCTACCTTATACAGTGTGTCTAAAAATGTATTTTAAATAACTAGTAGCTTTAAACGGCAATAACTTGTTTAATTTTATTAATAGAACACAGTGTATATTTTAGGCGAATCAGATGCACAATTTAATTGCCTGTGAAATTGTTATTTTATTATACCATTTTTACCTTGTATCTCTTCAAATTTTCGTAGAAAATGCATTTTCTTATAATTTAGACCTCATTTATACCCATGGAATATTGACAATTTGAATATTTTTTTAAAGCAACAAATGCACAGAAAACTATTCAAATATTTGTAAAACAGTAAGTATACCAGTTAAATGTACCACCAGTATTTCCGACCAAATATTAATTAATTACATAACTTAATTGTGTTAGTTAATAAATTATTCTAAATAAATGTGGACTTGAATCAGAAATCAGTATAATAATAAGTTATGAATGTGAACGTCTCTGTTGTTATAAATAAGCATTCAGTTTATTTAGTATTTGGAGCAATTTTTAATCAACGGAAACAATCAATTAATGTAGTTCGAATATTGGAATCATATTAAGGTCCTCTTTTACAAATATTTAAACAGGTTTTTTATTTTTTAATGAAATAAGCAAACTATATCGATAAAATTAGTATCTACTCTTTGAAAATTTGTTATATGCACAATTTCTAAAAATCTAATCGTGTGGCTAGAATACTCCCTGTCGTATGAGGATAATAACCCTGCATAAAACATACTCTATAGATAATTTTCGTTCATATAAAACCACAATATATATGTTGTCCTTTATAACCTTAACCTGTTGACGCCTGCTACAGCATAAATTTACCGAGCAAACAATTTGATTTTTTAATCATACGCTACTATAGACGCGAAAACTGAATCTGCATATTCATTCAAAAAAATTATCCATTTAGATTACTACACCAGATTACTCTTCAAAGTGATTGGTGAGTTGGTATTTGCGTTCGATAATGATTAAAGCCAGAGTAGATTTTTTGTACAAAAAAAAATAATTGCAGCGAGGATTTGATAATTCATAACAGATTTTTGTTATTACAAAATGTTTTTAATATATTAGTGTAGGCATACACATCTTTTAAATATTAGGTGTAATTGGTTTTGTATTTAGGGATTTTAAAATTTTTAACGGCTTCGCAGATACTCGCGGTGTTATTTCATATGGCCCTGTTATTAAAAAAAAAAATATCCCAATCCACCCACACTTACTATGACCGATAAATAAAAAGCACTCCTCTAGTCCTCTATTATGTATATATTATGTGGAACATTTATGTTTTAGAATGTTGCTTTTAAATCTGTATAGAAACCATTATAAATGAAACTGACTAAATAAAAATTATTCAATAAAATTTTTCGTTTATCTATCAAATTCTTTAGCATTTTAATTTTCAATAAAATACCTCCTTTTTAAAGGTGCAGACTCACAGTCCGGCGCGCGTTGTCTTGTAGGGGGCAGGGCCGCGTTAAGGTGAATTGATACCCTAGTCAGCATTTATTTTACCGCCCCCTTCAACTAATAAAAATTCAAGTAAAATTTATTACACCTAAAATTGTCAACAAATAGTAATATTTCATTGAGTTTTAAGAAAATTTGATCCTTTTTAAAAAAAATTACATATGGTATAGATAATTGTCAAGGAAAATCAAAAAGCCCCCTTTATTTAAGTATATTACCATATGTGTAGTCCTAGTGTGTTTATACAGGGTTGTTCACCTCATACGACACGGAGTATTGTAGCTAAACGATGAGATATTTACACATTTTAAGTTTTGGGTTCGTTGAAGGACTATTAGAGCTACAATTTAGAAATAATTTTACAAGATACAGAGTGTCCCAAATAATTAAAACATATCAAAGTTGTATTTTTTTAAATGAAACACCCTGTATATTATTACATTTTTAGTTTCTACGATTAAAATAAAGGTAAATTTGATTAAGGTTTATTAACCTTACCGTTTTTGAAATATTTTCAATTTTGCAGTAAAAATTTTTAAGGCTTCATTTCTCCAAGGGTATCAAAGTTTTTAATACTAAATATTTACTGAGTTTATTTATTGATCAGTTATTGTGTTGCAATAATAAAAATAATACTACCTTATACAGAGTGTCTAAAAATTTATTTTAAATAATTATTAGCTTCAAACGGCAAAAACTTGTTTAATTTAAATGGAACACCCTGTATATTTTACGAGAATCAGATGCACAATTAAATTGTCTATCAAATTATGTTCATTTTTTACCTATCTCTTTAAGTTTCCGTAGAAAATGCATTTTCTTGTAATTTAGAACTTATTTATCAATATACCCATGGAATATTGACATTTTAGATTATTTTTAAAGATGTACCAAATTTTTAAAGAGTACAGATACTAATATTGTCGATATAATTTGTTTATTTCATTAAAAAATAAAAAAACTGTTTAAATATTTGTTAAAGAGGACCAATTAATATGATTCCAGTATTCAAACTACATTAACTGACTGTTTGGCGTTGATTAATAATAATTGTTCCAAATACTAAAAAACTGAATTTTGTATGGGTATTAGACAGTGTGATAAAAAGTAACACCTTAAAAATGATATTTCATTTTTTTAATAAATGTTTATTTATAACCACAGAGACTTTAATTTTGATAAATTATTATTATATCTATTTCTGACTCAAATCCACATTTATTTAGAATAATTTATTAACGAACACACAATTAAGTATGTAATTAATTAGTATATGGGCGGAAATAATGGTGTTATATTTAATTAATGGTATACTCTTTTATAAAGATTTAAATAGTTTTCTTTTTGCATACAAATGGGCTAGTAATATTATCGTTTTTCTAAAAATGATACTACGATAATATTACTAGCCTGTATATTTTGTACATTTGTTGCTTTAAAAACAATCTAAAATGTCAATATTCCATGGGTATGTTGATAAATGAGGTCTAAATTATAAGAAAATGCATTTTCTACGAAAACTTGAAGGGATAGGTAAAAAATGGTATAATACGATTTGATAGACAATTAAATTTTGTATCCGATTCTCTTAAAATATATAGGGCGTTCTATTTAAATTAAAGAAGTTATTGGCGTTTAAAGCTAGAAATTATTTTAAATAAATTTTTAGACACTCTGTATAAGGTAGTATTATTTTTATTATTGCAACACAATAACTGATCAATAAATAAACTTCAGTAAATATTTAGTAATAAAAACTTTGATACCCTTGGAGAAATGAAGCCTTAAAATGTTTACTGCAATTTCACAAAATTGAAAATATTTCAAAAACGGTAAGGTTTAAGTATAATAAACCTGAATCAAATTTATCTTTATTTTAATCGTAGAAACTAAAAATGTAATAATATACAGGGTGTTCCATTTAAAAAAATACAACTTTGATATTTTTTACTTATTTGGGACACTCTGTATCTTGTAAAATTATTTTTAAATTGTACCTCTAATAGTCCTTCATCGAACCCAAAACTTGAAATTTGTAAAAATTTAATCGTTTAGCTACAATACTCCGTGTCGTATGTGGTGAACAACCCTGTATAATCTGTCCAAAAACCAAGAAGAATATTTAGACAGAAAACATCCTAAAAATAACAGAAATTACAATTTGTTTTGAATTAACATGACAGACACAACTGTCAGTGTCAAGTATCCTGCCGTTGCGTTGGACAAACTATACCTAATATTGTCAACAAATGGAAATATTTCAGTTTTAAAAAAGTTAATGCTTTTATTTCTGGTTTTACTAATTCAAAACTAATATAATATTGTGGCAGTATGTTTTATTTTCCAACATATTGTTTTCATTAAAAAAATGCCGCCCCCATCAGCTTGCCGCCCTAGGCAGCTGCCTATCTGACCGAATGGATAAAGCGGTCCTATTAGGGGGTGTAACGGAAGGTTAATATGAACCTTAAATTTGATTTTATTCATTGTCATATTATTCTTGTTGCAGCGATTTTATCATCCTGCCCGGTTATATTGATTTTACGCCGAAAGAAGTGGTAGGTCGTTTCCATGCACTTCCGAACACTATCCATATTTAAAAGCTGTTAATCTTTCAGGACTTGTCGTGCCGGCTGACGAGGAAGATCGCCCTCAATACTCCTCTTGTGTCATCTCCCATGGACACGGTGACGGAGTCCGACATGGCTATCGCATTAGCTGTAAGTGCCCAACTACTCAATTTAGCCGTTTAAAATTTGATCGATTAAAGTAACAAGTTTTCCAGAATTGAATTTATTACACCGGATGTTTTTCACCAGTATCCTTATCATTTTTTTTAAATTTTTCAGATAAAAACATGAGATTTGGTATGTTAGTAAAATATATATAGGTTATAGTAGTTTCGTAAAATCCGAAAAGAAATATTTTTTTTTGAAAATAGATTTGTATGTCTGGAAACGTTCTATCCTTTTTTAATCTTCCTATAATTAGTGTTAACTTTTGGCAATTTTTATGTCAATTTTTAGTAAATGACTTATTTAGTAAATTTTACTTTTTAGTAAATGGGATTTACTATTGATCTCAACATTTTCATGGTATCCCCTGTCGTCTTTGGCGACGTTTTTTTTTCATCATACGGTATATCATATTAATTCCTTAATTTTAGCTCTGTGGAGGTATTGGAATAATTCACCATAATTGTCTACCAGAATATCAAGCTAGCGAAGTCGCTAAGGTAAAAAAGTACAAGCACGGATTCATTAGAGATCCGATAGTACTAGGACCAAAAAACACTGTCATGGATGTCCTCGCGATTAAAGAGAAACACGGATTTTGTGGCATTCCAGTGACAGAAAATGGAAAAGTCGGGGGAAAACTGATCGGTATGGTTACTTCGAGGGATATAGATTTTCTGGAGGGAATGCATCTGAAAACTACAACGTTAGAAGAGATAATGACAAGACTGGAGAAATTGATAACCGCTGCTTCAAATGTTACCTTGAACGAGGCAAATTCAATCTTGGAAAAGAGCAAAAAAGGAAAATTGCCAATAGTTAATCCTGATGGAAATTTGGTAGCTTTAATAGCTAGGACAGACTTGAAGAAGGCAAAAAACTACCCATTTGCATCTAAAGATAATAACAAGTAATTTTTTCTATCTTTCTAAAGCAATGAGATAATCTAAATTATATACCGGGTATTTTTCAAAAGTGGCCCACCCTTGTAACATTTTTATTTTTTCATATAAAAAAAAGAAATTTGATGTATTAGTATATGAAATATATCGGGATCGATAGACGTGTTGAGTTAGTTTCGATCACTTCCTGTTTCACCGGAAATGACTACGACTTTTAATTCTTAAATGGTACACAACTTTTTTTACTGTATTTGATAGAACATGACATTCTGAATAGAATGGAATATCATGTGTGAACTTTTGACTTTTAGTTTCTAAATGGTACCCTCGGTACTTTTTTTAATTTATTTGATAGTACATGACATTCTCAATGGAATGGCATATCATGTGTGACGTGTGAACTTTTGACATTTTAATTTAACAAAAATGCATTTAAATTTCAATCTAGATTTGGGGAGTTACAACCATTAATTTTTAATAAAGGAGCTTTGGAAAAATAAATTTAATTATTGTTTTTAGTATCTCTTCCTGGCCGGTTAAAAAATGCCGAAATCGTATTTTTAATTACAACTCAATTTTTTGGAATTTTTGTTTTGTTGAATAATTATTTACAAATAATTTGGTACAACATACGTGGTAGTTTGAGTCAAATTGTTGTTACATTTACGGCCATTGCACTCTAGATTGAAATTTAAAATACTACATTTTTACAACAAAATGTCAAATGTTGACATAATATGATATGTCATTCAATTCAGAATGCCATTCTCTAACAAATAAAGCAAAAAATACCTATGGTATCCTTTAAAAATCGAAAGTTAAAATAATTTCCGGCGAAACAAAAAGTGAACGAAACTAATAGAATAAGTCAATCAACCCCAATCAATTCTATAGTTTCTAAAAGTTTCGAAAAACATCCGGTATATACAACTGACCCAGCGAGTTTTTACTTTTTTATTATATTCCTAATAAAGGTGCCGTTACACGGCGCGTGGATCGCCGACCCTGCGACAAAAAATTTCGCGCTGCGCTCCGTGTGATTGGGTCGGCAGGCCGATCTTCGGGCCACGGCCGGGTATATGTGCAGTTACACGGTGCTTGGATCGCCGAGCCTGAAACAAAAAATATGCGCCACACGCCGCGCCGTGTGAATGGGTCGGCGCGTCCTTATTTAATTTATTTAACTATTTAAATAACTCCATTTAATGCAAACATTCATAATTTATTATTAGCTTAAAAAATCTATAAATATCATATTAATTAGCTATAAAAATTACTGATAAATACAGGATATACCAATATAATCTACCATGTTACTGTTTAAAATTATTATTTATTCTCAATGCTGTATAAAGTATATACTCGTATAGATAGATATAGTTTATTAGTTCTAAGTATAATAATATAAGTTACATACAAATATCCCGAAGGGTGTAGAACATGTCAAAAATATTGACTATTACTAGAAGGGTGAGAAGCACTATATACATTTTGCTGAGGTGATTTATGTATGTGTAATAATTGTATTTGATACTTAATTTATACTTCTAAATTTTATAGCAGCTATAGAAATATTAATTCATAAAATTTTGTGCAATTTAAAATTTGTATAGCTATACTAATTTATTGGCGGTAATTTGAGTGGTGGTAATTGCCGATGATTATAACAATATATTATAGGTACCAATTTACCCATCAGTGCGATTAGTTCAATCACAAATAAACTACTAATTTATAGCCGGCCAGGTATTAACCGGTACGACAAAAAATTGTTTACTTTGAACACAGTAGGTATGTGATACATTTGATTATGTAACCTACCATATGTATCAAAAAACGGAGATTCGAAGAATAATTGATATTTTACATATTTCGAGACAATATGTTTTGGTCGAACGATACTCTATCTGAGTTTTTACCCCTATATGAAAAAGAACAAATAACTTGGAACCCCAGAAATAATGCACATGAAAATAGAAATCCGATGATTATAACAATATATTATAGGTACCAATTTACCCATCAGTGCGATTAGTTCAATCACAAATAAACTACTAATTTATAGCCGGCCAGGTATTAACCGGTACGACAAAAAATTGTTTACTTTGAACACAGTAGGTATGTGATACATTTGATTATGTAACCTACCATATGTATCAAAAAACGGAGATTCGAAGAATAATTGATATTTTACATATTTCGAGACAATATGTTTTGGTCGAACGATACTCTATCTGAGTTTTTACCCCTATATGAAAAAGAACAAATAACTTGGAACCCCAGAAATAATGCACATGAAAATAGAAATGAAATACAGGACGGCTGCCTGAGAAGACATCATAAGTTAAGTATCAATTATTGCACCATGAACGAATTAAAAAAATTAATTAAGTGATTAAAAAAAAAGAAGAGTTGTTCTAGTCTTTTTAGTTCCTAAAATACAGGACGAATTTTAAAATGTTGCATTTTTTGATTCCATCGTATATCGGTTATCTTATAACATATCAAAAAGGTGAAAACTCAGTCTCGTTTAGTTTTTTACTTAGAATCCAGTGATGTTGACTAGTTTCGCTGATGGTTCTCATTTTCGAAATCTAATTTCTATTTTTTTAAATGAGACACCCAGTATATTATTTTTTATATTATTTGCCTTGTTATGGGCTTTCTGAAAATATGATATACTCCAAAATTATATTTTCATAAATAAGGCAAAAAAATATTATTTAACTTTTGAACATAAACAACCCTAGTTAAAAAAAGTATTATTATCTTATTTAATTTAATTTAACCAGATGATTTTGCTTTCCATCTTGTTATCTTAATAAACTGCACTGAAAATAAAGTTGCGGAATAAATTATTTGATTGTATGAATTTAAACCCAATTTAAACCGATAGTTTATGTTAAAAAGTTATATAGGTAATGTATTTTTTGTTCTCTGTCTCTCGGTCGGCCGTGAGATCACAAGTGCGAAAATACGCATTGGCGCGTCCTGGCTAGGCGATTCGCGCGCCAGGCGCGTGGATCGGCAAACCACACGCCGTGTAATGGCACCTTAAGATTCACTAAAAAATTATATAACAGGTATACCATAAATACCATAATCTTTAATCAGTAATTTTTCAAATCTGAAAATTTTTTAATCAATTTTTTACACTCATTAGTTCATTCCAAATTGAAACTAAATCCAAGATTTCTGATAATTTTTTTTAACTTATAAATATTTGATGATGGTGTCTCCTTCGTACTGAATCCTTAATGATCCTAAGATGAGGTGGAAGAAGCTCCTCTAAAAATCGATCTAGCATTTTATGCAAAATTTACAAAGTGAAAAAATATACATCATCCCATCAAAAATAAACAGATTTAGTGTAAAAATAGATTAAATTATTTCTATTTATTTATATATGACCTATGTTGTCATATTATCAAAAATTATGTTTCTTTAACTAAAAATAGAAAATTTCCAAAAATTCTAAATCTTCGAAAAAAAATTGCGAAAAAAACTCATAGACGTATTTCTTGAATCGAGATATACCACCCTTAAAAATATTTGCACTTATTTAAGACAAGATATGAAAATATACCTAAAATATACTTGACCCAGAAAATGGTGGAGTGAATACATTAAGTTTAAAATAGGAAACTTCATGTAGAGTTGTTTTTATTACACTGAGTCACCCTGTATTTATTTGACTATAAGAAATCTTACATCCACAATTTTAGACAGCTCTTAGTTGGTGCTGCCATAGGAACAAGGGAAGAAGACAGAGCCAGGCTAGCCCATTTGGTTAATGCTGGAATTGACGTAATTGTGCTAGATTCATCCCAAGGAAATTCTATATATCAAATAGAGATGATAAAATTCATAAAGAACACTTACCCTGATCTTCAAGTTGTTGGTGGAAACGGTAAGAGATAATTTTTAAGTCTTTCTTATTTATATGTCTGATTTACAAATTTAGAAACATATCTGTGATGTTGTTATTAATATAATATTTTTTTTTGATTTAGTTGTAACTACAAAGCAAGCAAAATCATTAATCGACGTTGGCGTCGATGCATTAAGGGTCGGTATGGGTAGTGGCAGTATATGCATTACTCAGGAAGTTATGGCTGTAGGCCGCCCCCAGGCTACCGCTGTGTACAAAGTTGCTCAGTATGCCAATAAATTCGGAATACCTGTTATTGCCGATGGTGGAATTTCTTCATCCGGAAGCATTACTAAAGCTTTGTCCCTGGGAGCTTCTTCAGGTTTACTATTAATCATCATTATATTTAGATAAATTAGGAAGTATCACAATATTTATTGATATGATCGGAGAAATCCTCGGTCATGAAATTTTTCTTTACATATTATAGACCTCGAACTGCTGGAAGGCTTATATCTCAGCCGGACCAAGATTAAGCAAAGCTCGGTGTATTTTGCTGTTTGTTACAACAATGTTGCTCTGTACCCGAATCAACTGAATAATGTCGTAATAAATATAAATAATTAGTTTACATCATGTTTTTAATACATTTTTTAAAAAGTTAGCTAGCTCACGTGTTCGAAAAGAAACAGACTTAGTTCCAAAAATGTTGATAAACTTATTTTTCTGAATTCTGCTCTATCTAGTAAATAAGTATAGGTGCATATTTTCTTATAAATAAATAAACAATATACATATGTAATAAATAAAGATTTAAAGTACCTTTTCTTATTTTTTTAATTTTGTTAAAGCAGGAGTACCAAAAATAGGATCGCATACTGGTGATTACTCATATATACTGTACTTAAACCGCCTTGTAGCCTCGCAAACACGGTATTATAATTCCCAATATATAATTTCCGAGGATAAACAAAAAGCTTCGATATACCAATGGTTTTAATAGTCGAGTGACACCATCCATATTTGTTGGTTTTAGCATAAAATTTAGAATTTAATTTTGTTTTTAGTGATGATGGGGTCAATGTTAGCGGGCACTACAGAAGCACCAGGCGAGTACTTCTACACTGAAGGGGTTCGGTTAAAGAAATATAGAGGAATGGGCAGCATTGAAGCAATGACCAGAAAAGACGCTGTCGGTTCAGCGATGAGTAGATACTATCACACGTAAGAAAATAAGTTAACATAATACCTGCATCATTCGTATATATTATTATTTTTATGCATTTTCTTATAACTTAAACCTCATTTATCAATATACCCATAGAATATTGACATTTTAGATTTTTTAAAGCAACAAATGTACAAATTGTACAAATTCTAAAAACGATAATATTGCAAGCCCATTTGTTTTCAAAAATAAATCTATATAAATTTTTATAAAAGAGTATTTCAATTAAATATACCACCATTATTTCCGCTCAAAAATTAGCTACATCCTTAATTGTTCTAGTTAATAACTTAGTCTAAATAAATGTAGATTTGAATCAGAACTCAATATACCTAATAAGTTATGAAAATGATCGTTTCTGTTGCTATAAATAAGCATTCGTCTAAAAATTAAATAAAATTTATTTTTAAGAGTTACTTTTTACCACACTGTCTAATAAACATTCAAAATTCATTTTTTTTTAATATTTGGAGCAATTATTATTAATCAACGCAAAAAGTCAATTAATGTAGTTTGAATACTGGGATCATATTAATTGGTACTCTTTAACAAATATTTAAACAGTTTTTTTTATTTTTTAATGAAATAAGCGAATTATATTGACAATATTAGTATCTGTACTCTTTTAAAATTTGTTACATTTTTAAAAACAATCTAAAATGTCAATATTCCATGGGTATATTGATAAATGAGTTCTAAATTATAAGAAATGCATTTTCTAAGAAAACTTGAAGAGATAAGTAAAAAATGGTATAATACAATTTGATAGCCAATTAAATTGTGCATCTGGTTCTCCTGAAATATACAGAGTGTTCAATTTTAATTAAAGAATTTATTGCCGTTTAAAGCTAGTAATTATTTAAAATAAATTTTTAGATAAGGTAGTATAATTTTTATTCTTGCAACACAAAATTTAGCAAATAGAAAAAGTTCAGTATAATATTTGGTTTTAAAAACTAAAATGCGCTGAGAGAAATGAAGCATTAAAATTGTTACAGTATTTCGACTAAAACGGTATAAGATGCGGTAAACCTTAATCAAATTACCTTTATTTTAATCGTAGAAACTAAAAATGCTATAATATACAGGGTATTTCATTTAAAAAAATACAATTTTGATATTTTTTTTATCTGAGACCACTCTGTATTTTGTAAAATATTTTTAAATTGTAGCTCTAATAGTCCTTCAACGAACCCAAAACTTGCAACTTGTAAAAATCTAGTCGTTTAGCTACAATACTCCGTGTCATATGTGCTGCATAACTCTGTATATGTAACCTCAATCTGCCAAGGTTCAAATTATTAATGCCGCTCTACGTTTCCCCATCAACCCTCAAGAGTTCTCTAGTTCTACGGATTCTTTTTCTCTAGTTTCTTTGAAGGTTTATTCCATAAACACCTTTCTGTTTAAACATTCGTAAAGGAAGCTTCTCGGACTAGTTTTTAATAGCTCACAGCTTAGAATGATCTCTGGTATCAGTTTTTATAGGTGGCAGGGCAGCTCGACTACTATAAAATCGCTTTTCTATTGCAGTACTTTTCCATCAAAAACAGCACGGGTTTCAATAACATATTGAATTCTTTGGAGAATTGTTTCATGTTTTCTAAGAATGTAGTTCCGCATTGTTTCAGCAGCTGTATTCCTGTTTATCTCATTTGTCTCTATCCAGAAATAAGTCATGGATATTCATAGACCTAAAGTACAGTATAATCGAAAAAAAGACGGCATCCAGTTGGCTTGGAAATGAACATCAATGACATTCCCTATATAATTTTACATATAAAATGACAGCGATCTTCATATCAAAGCATTCGTTGAAGCCGTTTTTTTCGCTCAAACTTTATATAGTTATCTGATGACATTATTTTTCAATTTGATTTACTACTTTGTTACTTGGTAAACTCTCACGGTTGTAAACTAAAAATATAAAAATTTAATATTATATATTACTGTTTAGAATTAAAATTTTATCTATGAACATATTTTTTTCAGCGAAGGAGATCAGCTGAAAGTGGCGCAAGGCGTAAGCGGATGTATGGCTGATAAGGGGTCAGTCTTGACCTACGTCCCTTATCTGATAACGGGAATAAAGCATGGATGTCAGGACATAGGCGCTAAATCTTTAGAGCAGCTTAGGTAAGATAAGGGATGAGATAAATTAATGCATTTTAAGGAATAAGAATAAAGTTATTTTATGTAAGAAAAATATATTTGATTTTTTTTTCGGTAAAGCTATAATCAAATTTATTAGAGGCTCTAAAAAATAAAATTATTGTTTGTTATGGAGTGTGTCGTAAATTACATACTTGGTAATCAATATTGTTTGACTAAATTAATAATTAACTACTTGAAATCTGACGAATTTCGGCTACATATAGTTGACTTAATATGATTGTCAAAGGTATCAAATATTTTTTACTAATAGTTTTTGAAGTGAATCTCTTTTACGCGCGTTGGGATTAAAAAATTAAGGCCGTGACACACGGCCTTGAGTGTCATATTTATTTCGAACCAATAATCAACGAGAATATTCGTATAAATTAATGTGAATGACTATAATTAACAAATTGTTTGTAATTGAGCTGTAATTTGTGTATTATTAATCCGGTAAATGATGGGGATAAACAATTGTGATTAACTAAGATTTTATTTTAAGATAAAACTTTTGTTAACAACATTCTGAGAATTCAAATAATGAATTGAATAATCTGATAATATCAAGACAAGTGGCATCAAAAAGACAGCGATTTAGAGTAACAATCTAGTTATGTAAAATTTAGAGTTATCATTTTGATCACACAAAAAAAAATGCATATTCTATGAGTTTACTGGTTGCCTAACGATTAACATTAATTTAAAAATAAATACCCAACATGAATAATGAACAAAACATCACCAAAACAAAAACAGATCACAGACTACAGAAAATAAATTTTTGGTTAGTAGCAGTTAGTAGTAGTCAGAGATATAGATGTAGTACTATTTTGGTTTAATGGGCACAGCTAATAAAAACTAAAAAACATTATAAAATTATAAAGCGAGAATAGTAGGTTAATATTAACTCTATTTTTTTTTGAAGTTTATAAAAAACATTCATAAAAAATATATATCCTTCAAATCCTTAAATTTAATTGCTGTTAGTAAGAAGTTTTACATTAAATATGCGCACATAGTACACACACAATTTTTTTATTTAACAGAGTCGTTTCCTTTTTAATTTTATACGAGTATACCAATTTTCACTGATCAATTTGAAAAATAAAATTTTGTAATTTTTAACCGATGTCATCCGATTCTCGTTCTAGAAGCAAAAATAGGTGATGGCAGTGTTTGTTAGTCAAATAATTTATCTAGTGATCAGATTGCATATGTCATAAATATATAATATAGTCTGAAATATGCATATATAATAATAATAAAAATATGATGATGAAATATGTACAAACAGGATTAAGTTGTTTATTATTTGTAGAAATAACACAAATTGTGTGATATTTGCGCGCTTTAATAAGTTTGAATATATTTTATTTGTTTTTAAATTAAAACTTAAACTTATTAAAAAACACTTCCTTTTAATTTATTTTTTTGTCTGTATTAGTTTTATGCCACGACCGCACAACATGCGGCATTTGGTGATTTCTGAGCGCTCGTCAACGGGGCTTTGCCGATTTCCGATCAGTGTGGGCTGGGAAGTTGAAGTTCGGCGACCCAACAACTAGATGGCCTCTTTTTTCGATCAGAGCTCAGCGATGCCCACATGTGTGGACAGAAAGTCCGATGACGACCTCTCGATAGTTGACGAGCGCTCGGAAATCGCCGACTGCCGCCTGTGGCGACAGCATTAGAAGACTAATCTTATTTATGAGACCTGTTGCTATTAAAATATTGTGAGAGTGGTAGTTTCAATTCGGAGATAAATATCATTCTTTGTTATTTTTTTTTGTCGAAATATTTACTGATGTGTTAGACAGACTTTTTCAATGCCCTCTCTCCAAATTTGCTATTATTCCTGTATACTTTTACGTGTATACTTTATATGTTTTTTTATTTTAGGAAAATGATGTATTCCGGGGAGTTAAGATTTGAACTTAGATCATTTTCCGCACAACAAGAAGGCAGCGTCCACAGTTTATTTTCATACGAGAAGCGATTATTTTAAGTGAATGTTACCCACACAAAATCAAGTATTATATATGAAATATGTATTAATATATCTCTATTTTTATCAAAACATTATTTTTGTATATAAAATAGAAAAATATGCACTAAACCTATTTTAGATTTCATTTGTTTATAATGCGGCCTACCCACGTCCAAATGGTTGACTCAGCTGTCGGGTTAACGAAATTGAATATTGCTTCCACACTACTCACTACCCAATTTCACAATAAATTTATCAGCAATCAGTTGGTGCAATAAAGGTGGCTTTTTAGTAAGAGGCAATGATTTACATTTATCAGAGACAAGCGTATCAGATCAGAGCCTACACAGGACCCAACCTTTTGCTTGTTATGCCGGGTCCAGACCAAGGCGACAAAAAGTAAACACGATTTTGAGACAAAAAAAACAAATTTGTGACAAAAAATGGGGACTTCTGAAAAGACAAACTTGAGACAAATTGTCCACACCGCAATCACCAAAGTAAGACAAAGTCAAAAGTTTAGCTGTTGCGAATGAGTTTTATTAACCATGTGTGATTTCACTGGTCTCCTACTGTTGGCAGCACACGCCATCCACACTGCGCCGACAACTTGTTGCAAAATATACGAACAAAACATAGATACTTTGATCTTTACCGACTCGAGACGGGACATTGAAAAGTCTCCGAATTTTGAAACAAAACAAGAATGAGACAAAAATATCGCAGAAATATATTGGACTTGTCACAACTTTGTCGTAAAACATGAATGTTTCTGTCTTGTCACTGTTTTGTCTGCTTGGTCTGGACTCGGCATAAGAACTATTTGTATATTGATCATATTCAAGTCGAAGGCTATTAATATAATAGAAAAATGTTCAAAGATCTGATTGTATCAGCTTCGGCCTTTATAATAATTTATAAAACACTAAAACAAAAACAATGTAGAAAGAAGAAAGGGCGTAGATTGTGGATGACACAAATATGCAGAAGCATTGAGGCATGCAACAGAGACAATTAGGCCCCTACCCTAACCAAAATAACATTTTTCTTTGCACAAGCAAAGTTCAAGCTGAGACACAAGAAATTAGCTGAGATACTTTCAAATATTGCCATTAGGTGTGCTATGATAATAGACTATCAATTACAACTAGACACATGTAATAGGTACTTTCAAATTTTTCCACTAGGTACTACAATAAATATTACACTTTATTATTTAATAATTAAAATGTATTATACTTAAAATTCGAATTTTATGCGGACGAAGGCCCGGGAAAAAACTAGTATGATATAATAATATTAGTTATTGTTTAAAAAAAAAATCATAGAAATGAAAACGTATTAAACATTTGAAGATATATTATAAAAACTACGAAATTGAAACGGAAGCTTTAAGAAAAAGTAATATTATTATAATAATACAAATATATATTTTTTGCAGAGTATCCATTCTGAAACAAATAGGTTTTAATATTACTCAGTTCAGAATTCAGAGATTCTTGGTCACTGCATATAGTGATTGCTCGACATAATGTTTTAACTATGCATCTTTCAGCAGAATGGTTACTATGCAAAAACCCTAGACGATATTGTATCCAATTGCAAATCTGACTCATTGGTGCGCCAGCCTGAGGAGGATGCTCTCTCTCTCTCTCTTGACGATTCCCTATGTGAAGGGAACATCGGAGAATATAAGGTGAATATCCAAGCAATATAAAATTAAAACTGTTTTTAAGTCTTGGACTACACTGAGAAGTCTTCTAACAAAAACAAAACAGGAATCATGAAAAAAAAAAGAAAGAGTGCATCTACCAGGTACCTCGGGAGTGCAGTGAGTCGTTGGTCATTGGAGAGAAAAAAACGTCCTCTACCATTGTACGACTTGACGAACATATAAAACATACGCAAAGAGGTGAAACAATGAAATCGGGTATTGCAGATCATGTTTGGTCCAAGCACCGCAACATAAAATGGTCGGAATCCTAGGTTGTAACAAAGAATCAAATTGGAAAAAGAGAAAATTTAAAGAGGCTGTATTAATATCTAACAATATTCAAATCTTTAGCAATCCAAGTATGGAAATTTCAATAATATGACAACCACATTCATAAAACGCTTTACGACTCCAATGCAGGTATACTTAGTGGACAACCTCATGCTTGAATATACCCAACTAATTCACATGTGAATGCTCAGCTCTTATTAGCTCAGTGGTTTTAGGCTTTAGATCAGTTCACATTTGATAACGGTCAGTTACACTTCTGACCAAAACGTTGTGTAAGCAAAATAAATAAATACAATCGAAGTCCGAAATTCTTTTAGTTTCAATACTGCGTCATTGTCTACCACATTCGAAGTAACGAAGGAAATGAATGCTAAATAAATAGAGTCTTGTCCATATGCCTGCTTAATTAAAACAAAATCAGGGAGTCCGTTTGGGCCACTTTGGGACTAATTACTCTAGAGGAATTAAAAATAGAGTTCACGTGCACATGAACACCTATTGTCGAAGAGCTACTGGTTTTATTAAAAAATACTTGTAAGTGAATATTCATAGGAGCAGATCTCTGTATTTAAGTTCAAATTAGGACAATTTACGAGAGAACTCACAGTGTTCGTTGTAGCGTCCCAACGTAAAAAGTCAAATTAAAAATAAGTTAAAATTTCATTCGTTTACTCGTTAAGAATATCTTTATGCGCCAATGCAAATAAGCTGGCGCTACCATTGCCGTGGCGCGTCACAACCTAAGCTAAGAATTCAGATTAAGTTTAATAACGTACAAGACAGATATCTGGGTTATTGCCAAGTCGAAGCGCAACTCTAAATTTTTAATAAAATTTATTGTACAGTGTAAATGGGGTTTAAGTTAAACAACGACAGTGCAATTATATGTATCTTTTGGAAAAGTGAATATTTATAGGGGCCCAAACGAAACTCTTCTGCTTCCGTTTTAAGGTAGAGTTTAATAACTGGGATGAGAGCTAATTAGACAAATACTGTTCCCGTTAGATATTTATGTAGAAAGCGAAGTTTCTACAGAATGAAAGGAGGATATGTTAAACGAATTGTAACGATGGTAAAGCTTAATAATTGGTGTATAATGTTCTGTAAATTATTTAACTTCAGTAAGTAGTCTATATCAGAATGTCAGCGGCTTATTAGACGTGTATGTACTCAGTAGTTAACGAATTCTCGAAATATTTAGACTGTCGTTTTTTTTATTGCATGCTGTTCTGTCAATTATTTAACTTTAATATAAGTAGTGTATATCAGACCTTCAGACAGTTACTAGACTACGTGGATGTTCTAAATAGCTAAAGAGTTCTCAAAATATTTAGATTGTCGTTTTTTTTATTATGACGATGGGGAAGTAATATACTAATATAAACGTTAAGTTACTACTTACTTACTTACTTATTGCCGTTACTCATTATACCGGGTGCGTCTCAAAAGCGAATCACTCCTAGAACTTTTTTCTTTTTTGAGATAAAAAATCGAGATTTGATATGTTAGTATATGACATAAATTAGAACTGATTGACGTTGTTTTTGGTCACTTCCTGTTTCACCGGAAACTTTTGATTTTTAAATGGCACCCTGAAGAGAATGACATATCATATGCTAACCAATTTTTGACATTTTCTAATATGATTTATTTGAAATTACAACATGCGATTCATAACGACAATTTGACTCCAAATATGTTAATGAGCCACCCTCGTTCCATTTGAAAAAATTGAGAATGCGATTTGATAAAAACATTAGATGATCAAATTTAATTTTCCTAGGCTCCTTGATTAAAATAATAAAAGTTATTAGTATTTTTAATACAGCCATGGCACTTTAGATTGAAAATTAAAATACAATTCTGTTTTAAGTGAAAATGTCAAAAGTTGGCATATGATATGTTATTCTATTCAGAGTGTCATTTTCTATCGAATAAAGTAAAAAAAATACCGAGGGTGCTATTTAAAAATCAAACGTTGTAGTCATTTCCGGTGAAACAAGAAATGGCCAAAAAGAATACGCCAATAAATCCTAATTTATGTCACATACCAAATCTCCTTTTCTTTATCTGAAGAAATCCAAAAGTTATAGTAGTGGGCCACTTTTGAGACGCACTCAGTATATACTCCTTATACAAATATCCTTGTATCTTTTGAATTGTCTATCCGAATTCTTCTTACCTTCTACAAGCTCACCGTAAAGAATATATTTTGGTAGGCGGTTTTCTTGCCACTTGCATACGTGGCCACCCATCTTAAGCGGGATTTCGCTAAATCATGACATCAGCGCTCTCGCAGCTAGCTTTTCAAGGACTGGTAGGTTTGAGGCATGGTGGTACTATTTGATTTTTAACAATTGTTTAAGGTGTCTCTGTTGCAACTTGCTTAATGCGTTCTTGTGCCGGCGGTACGGCGCGGCACCCAGGTAGGTTTCCATATAACATGGTGGGGATTATTATTGCTCGGTCACTGCAAGTTTCGTGTTTGTGTTCATGATTGTAAAAAAACAGTCTTTTAATTTCCAGAATGTTCTTGAGGCTCTGCTAATTCTGCGCTGAATTTCAGAGTCGATATTGACTTTTTCCGTCATCAAACTGCCGAGGTAATTGAATTCCGCTACAAATTCTAATAGTTCTTCTCTGATTTTTATAGCACTGTTATGATTTTTTTGGGCTAGTGCACAGGATTTTTATTTTATCGTTGTTTAGCTTAAGGTCAGGTATATATGTTCAGCATTTCTTGTAATTGCTTCTTTTTATATTCTGTAATTGCTTCTTTTTATATTCTGTAATTGCTTCTTTTTATGTATGAGCTTTTTTATGAACAAACCGCTGTCGTATCTGTATCTAATACACGTACCAATTCCTATTTCCTGCAGTTTTCTGGCCACTATAATAATTAGCTTACCGTTAAGTTAATCGCATTTTGATAGACAAAAAATTTCTTTGGATTGGATTCTAACACGGCGGCATTTTACAAAAAAAATCAGCCTTAATTTTTTAGATCCCCGTCACACTGATCATCTGATATTTGACACGATGTCGATTCGAAGATCGATTATTAAACTTATATTTATAAAAGTCACTAATCTAGATTATGCTTAATGGTTTAATCAGATG